TCTCTCTCTCTCTCTCTCTCTCTCTCTCTCTCTCTCTCTCTCTCTCTCTCTCTCTCTCTCTCTCTCTCTCTCTCTCTCTCTCTCTCTCCATTCATTGCTTCTCTACCTTTGTCTCACTTCTGGTTGCTCCCTGCTTATTCTGGGACTACATTGAGTGCTTCACGACTTTTTCTGCATTGTGACTGGTTCCATTTTGAGTGCAATGGCACTACTTGCATGATAGTTTGTGAAAGCTTCTCGTGACTGCCCGGCTCATCACAGTTATTTTAAGTCAGGTTTAGGTCACAATCTTGTGGTTTTAGTATAGCCTCAAACCACCACTACCTTTCTCAGGCACAGTCCATCGAATTGCAACATTCCCAAGACTTCAGACGAACAGTGCTATACTTCAGACTAACAGAGCTACCAGATCAAAACGGCTTGCCACGCCTGCCAAAAGAAGAGAGGGGGGGGGGCGAAGTTGCCATGGCAGGCCGGCTTTTTTTGGCACGCAGGGGTAATCAGCCTCGGCAAAAAGAGGTTCGGAGGTGATGGTGTTTTAAACCACGAGTACCTCTGAGTCTCCTTTTCCCAACACTGGCTTTTGCCCTCCCAGGGGCTACCAACGTGCTGTGGGATTTAGGCCTGGCAGTCACATTGCATCAAAATCAACGTGCTGTGGGAGTTAGGCCTGGCAGTCACATTGCATCAAAATTATCCCTGATGCTATGTTACCCATGACACCTGGCCGGGCAGCAGGGCAACTCACCCAGGGAGTCTCCCACCCGGGTCAATCCAGGCATGTTAAAAGTCCGGGATATTTATTTATTTTTGATTTTTTTTCCCATCGGTGGGGCCGTTTTTGCGCCCACTGGCCCAAATCCGGGTTCTTTTTTGTTTGTCACAAATTGTCAGTGTCGTCTGTTGGGGGAGGGGAAGGGGGTATAAACGGGTCTAACGGGTCTAACGGGGTCTAAAGGGGTCTAAAAGGGTTTAAAAGGGTCTAAAGGGGTCTAAAGGGGTCTAAAGGGGTTTAAAGGAGTTCAAAGGGTTTTAGAGGGGTTTAAACTTTAAAGGGTTTTAAAGGGGTGTGCTTTATTTTGTGTTTTTTTTTTTTCTTTTTTTTTTCATCTTTGAACTTCAACAAGCACTGCACTGGGGCAAAAGGGACCTCCATAAGTGAATATCCATAAATTAAGGTCCACAAAGTTAGCCTCTACAGCACACCCCTTTAAAGCCCTTTAAACCCCTCTAAAACCATTAAAGCCTTCTACAGCTGTGCAGATTTGGGTATAACTACTCCTACCACTTCTGTTCACCATGAATGCTCTAAGGGATGCTGGACCGGGTTTCCAGCATATATCACTCCCCAATTATAAAGCAGGGGATTACCAGCAAGACAACAGACAATCCTACAACAAAATTAACAAGGAGCTTTGGGCGAAAAATCCACCCATCTTAGGTGCTGCTGCTTCACCCAGTTGTCGGAGCATTCAAGCTATTTGGAAAGCTGCCCTCTTAAAAATAAAATTAAAAAAATAAAAATAAAAAATAAAAAAAATGGAAAGCTGCCCTCTTTGGATGGATGGGACGCTGGACCTCGAAGTTTCCGGCACCAGCCGAAGCTGGGTAATGGTCCCAGTATTATCGGGTAGCAGTGTTGAGTTTCCTAAACACCCGAATCTGGACGTGTTTGTGGAGATGTGCAGAAAATCGCATCGAGTTTCCTCAACCACACATCACCACAAACACGTCCAGATTCAGGTCTTTGAGGAAACTCAACGCTGCTACCGGTAGTGGGACTTGGCCCCCAGGCTCGGTTTTCCATCCCAGTGAAGACGCAGGATGGGAAGTTCTGATTGTATAGCACAACATAATGCCTAAACCCCCCCTTGAGCATGGTTGTGTGACTATGTCAGCTCCTTAAGCAGCCCACCGGAAATGAAGTTCAAAAAAAAAAAAAAAAGCACAACATAACCCCCATGCTGTAAGTGATGAAGTTGATGAAGGAACTCGACAGCACCAACGGTGAGCCCTCTGAAATGATCCACGGCGATTCCACGCACACCGACTACCGGTAGTAGGCAGAAATCCAGGCCACCTTTCTGCAATATCTGTTTGCAACAGTCGCACACGCACTCGCACTCATTAGGCGAGTCTATGCACAACCAATTCTATATAACACGTACTCGCACTCATTAGGCGAGTCTATGCATACCCAATTCTATATACAAGCCGAAGCTATGTGGTACATCCCATATACAAGTCTATAGGCCCTATACACAAACCAATGTCGTTAAAACCTATACTAATTCTGAGGTGACCCTCAGCCAAAAAGGCAAGTCTGATGATGTCTGCACCCAACAAAAAGGCAAGTCCGACTGAGTGCATACCGGGCTATGTCTCTGTCGAGCCTCACAAAGCTGGACTGGGTTGATAGAGTTATTGACTGATTGAATTGCTCACTGACTGATAGATTGGTTCATTCACGGCCTTCCCCCCCAATACCCCCGGGTGTCTATCTCTTCCTCTGTAGTTCCCCTCCATCTCCAACACGTTCTCAATCTCCTACCTCACCCTTTCTCATCACCTCACAGCTGCACAAATAGAATGTCCAAAACAAGCCCAGATATGCAAAGTCACTTATCTCTGCTTGGCATCATCGCATATGACCTCTCTCTCTCTCTCTCTCTCTCTCTATATATATATATATATATATATATATATATATATATATATCGTCAAATAGAACTGCCCGGTAAACCGTAGGCAGAGAGGGAGAAGAGG